GTTACAATACAATACAATACCAATGAAAGGTATTTGCAACAGGACCACTAGGAAAATAACTACAGATTATTCACTGATGGTAACTGAGGACAAAGTGGTAAAGAATGTCTGCAATGAACCTCGTAAGACCTTCCGAATTAATCAACATATAGTCTGATACTTGCTGACGTTAATGCAAAGATTAGAAAAGGCAAGGATGGGAAGAAATAAATAAATACACACAAACGTGTGTGTGTGTGTGTGTGTGTGTGTGTGTGTGTGTGTGTGTATAGAAAAGTATGGCTCAGAAGCAATGAGAGAAACTAAAGATAATATGGAAGTCTCATACCTCTATATTATGAACACTTTTTTTCAGAAAAGGAATTGCTAAATTCCTGAGCACCAAATAACATCAAAAAAGGTGAAACTACATTTTAACAGATTGGAAAAGACTTATTGTTGATATAAAAATTATCTCCAAGTCAGCTGTCTGTGAACAGACAGACCATAAACTCATCAAAGCTAAAATCAGGATTTGTATTAAACCAGAATAGCGATGAGAAAAAGATATATGCAATTTAAAAGATTTAATCCTATATTATCTAAATAAGCTTTTTCTAACATAAAAGGTGAGAAAGGAACAATAACCATTACTACAGTGCCACTTATATCCAAAAGTTAAATCAATGTAAAATGATCACTACAGGGGAACAAAAGAGCCCCAAAGGGCATATTTAGAGCCCCAAAAGGGCACATTTAAAGCCCAGAAAGGGCATTGTTAGTCAGCAAACATTTGACTTACTTGACAAACAGAGAGCTGGATACCAAAGGTAACAACCAGTTAGAGCAAACTCATGTAAAATCTTGTGAAGAAGAATAAAGAATGATTATGAGGAATGCTTAAGAAAAACCTAGCCAGATATCTAACTAAGGAAAGTCATCCCAAGGGCACCCAAGAAGGAAAATAGAAAGACAGTATGCTGGGCTTAAGCAGAAGAAAAATGGTGGGGGGAGTACCAAAAACACATTTTTAACAATTTTATTTCTTTTTTTCCATCAAGGATAATGGAACCACTATACTTGGACCCTAATATCATAGACCTTGAGGTTCTTATAAAAGAGGCAGAAATGGCACTAAAGAGAATGACAGGGAATGCAGCCATATTGGATCAAGTATATAGAGGCAGATAGGTGATGTAATGGATTGAGTGCAAGGCCTGAACTCAGAATAGGTCTGAGTTCAAATCCTGCCTCAGATACTAACTATATGGCCTTACTCACTTAATCACCATTTTGCTTCAGTTTCCTCAGTTGTAAAATGTGGATACTAATAGCACCTGCCTCCTAGTGTTGTTGTGAGGATAAAATGAGAAAATATTTGCATAGCACTTAAAATAGTATCTGGTACACAGTAGGCAAGATATAAAAGCTTTATTATTATTTTTGTTGATTCAGTCATTTCAGTTATGTCTGACTCTTCATGACTTTATTTGGAGTTTTCTTAGCAAAGATCCTGGTAAATCTTTTCTAGGCAATTGGAGCGAGAGTTTAGTTAGCTGTAAAGTGGAAGAAAAGAGAGTTTAATGCCTCTCATTAAAGATCAGTCTCTCGAAGGACAAGGCCCAATCCAAATCAAAGGCCTAAGTCAAGAGAAAAAGGCCACTTGTCAGAGAAAAGAGTAGTGAAGTACACTAGTCCCAGAAGCAGTGGCAAAGGGTGAATTGTTTATTAGGGCCATCCCAGGGAGTAAGTTCCTAGAGATTTTTTGCAAATTCAACCTATAATTCCACATATTTTGCCTTCTACTGAATAAAATTTTTAAAAAGACTAGTTTAATAGTACAAGGAACACTTGGAGTTACCTACTTTGAAGAATGTTGTGTGACAAAAACTTTGAGTTACTTCTATGATGAAATGCACACATATTAAAGTTAAAAGGAGTTGTGGAATAAGCAAAGAAACACTTTGAACAAGAATCACAGGCCTAAATTAGTTAAATGAAAATTAGTTAAATTCCATGTGTCTTACTTAGCAGTCATTTCATCATTCTTTGCTTTGATGGACTTCAGCAATCCATTTAACAATCTCTACCTCTCCTTGTGGACAATTTAGAGAGATATAATTTTATGTGGGTTAGAAGATGACAAGGGGAATATGCCATCCTAATGTAGTACTGATCTTCTCTGATCAGAAGAATCCTAATTAAATGACATCCCCCTGACAAATTGATAGAATTTGCAGGATATAATGAGCAAGTAACAGACCCCAACCTGCTTATGATGTAAAAAGGAATATAAAAATGTTTACATGTTTTACCCCCTTTTTGATGCATGAAAAAGTTCTCCAGAATCAAGGATGCTAGACAAAGGTTTGGTCACACCCTAGTTGTCCTGAAAAAAGAAACATGCCCTAAACAGGAGACAAAGTTATGAGGACTCTAAGCTTAAACAGTTGAGTAAAAAGTCAGCTGTATCCTACATCCAAAGCCTCCAAGAAAAATATGAATTGGTTCCAGGCCATGGAAGAGCTCAAAAAGGATTTTGAGAAGCAAGTAAGAGAAGTAGAGGAAAAACTGAGAGTGATGCCAAAGGAGACCCAAAAAAATACTGAAGAAAATAACACCTTAAAAAAATAGCCTAACCCAAATGGCAAAAGAGGTCCAAAAAGTCAATGAGGAGAAGAATATCCTAAAAAGCAAAATTGGCCAAATGGAAAAGGAAGTCCAAAAGTTTACTGAAGAAAATACTTCCTTAAAAATTAGAATGGAGCAATTGGAAGCTAGTGACTATATGAGAAATCAAGGCACTGTAAAACTAATCCAAAAGAATGAAAAAATAGAAAAGAATGTGAAATATCTCATTGGAAAAACAACTGACCTGGAAAATAGATCCAGGAGAGAGAACTTAAAAAATATTGGACTATCTGAAAGCCATGATCAAAAAAAGAGCCTAGACATATCTTTCAAGAAATTATCCAGGAAAACTGCCCTGATATTTTAGAACCAGAGGGCAAAATAGAAATTGAAAGAATCTACCAATCACCTCCTGAAAGAGATCCCTAAAGGAAAACTCCTAAGAATATTGTAGCCAAATTCCAGAATTCCCAGGTCAAGGAGAAAATATTGCAGGCAGCCAGAAAGAAACAATTCAAGTATTGTGGAAACACGATCAGGATAACACAAGATTTAGCAGCTTCTACATTAAGGGACCAGAGGGCATGGAGTATGATATTCTGGAGGGCAAAGGAGATAGGATTACAACCAAGAATCACCTACCCAGCAAAACTGAGTATAATCCTTCAGGGTAAAAAATAGTCATTCAATGAAATAGGGGACTTTCAAGCATTCCTGAGGAAAAGACCAGAGCTGAATAGAAAATTTGACTTTCCAACACAAGACTCAAGTGAAATATGGAAGAGGTAAATAGGAAAGAAAAAACATAAGAGACTTATTAAGGTTGAACTGCTTACATTCCTGTAGGGAAAGACAATATTTGTAACTCATGAGTCCTTTGTCAGTATTAGGATAGTGGGACGGGAAAAAATTATATGTATGTATAGATAGATAGAGGGCACAGGGTGAGTTGAAGATGAAGGGGTGATATCTGGAAAATAAAATTAAGGGGTGAGAAAGGATTATACTGGGAGAAGGAAAAAGAGAGAAGTAGAATGGGGTAAATTATCTCACATGAAACAAACAAGAAAAGGCTTTTACAGTGGAGGGGAAATGGGGGAAAGTGAGAGGGAATGAGTGAATTTTATTCTCATAGGATTTAGCTTATGGAGGAAATAACATACTCAATGGGGTATGGAAATCTATCTTACAGTACAGGAAAATAAGGGGAGAAAGGGACAAGAGAGCAGGGGGGTGATAGAGTGGAGGGCAGATTGGGGAGGGGATAATGAAAAGCAAACACTTCTGAGGAGGGACAGGATCAAAAGAGAGAATAGAATAAATGGGAGGTAGGATAGGATGAAGGGAAATACACTTAGTTTTTCACAACATGACTGCTATGGAAGTGTTTTGCATGACTACACATCTATAACCTATATCAAGATGCTTGCCTTTTCAATAAGGGGGGGGGAGGGAGGAATGGACAAAATCTGTAACCCAAAGTTTTAAAAACACATGTTAAAAATAAAAAAAAATTTAAAAATTGCTTTAAAGTTTGAGAAGACAGATTTCCTGAACATGTGTTCATTCATAATTTAAATGATATAATGCAATGATGATTAAAAATACTTGTCTTACATTAGAAAAGAAGGGAACCTTTAAAAAAATCTATGATAATCTATCAGATGGATCAAAATAAACATTATACATAATCAAAAAAAAAAGAAGAAGAAGAAGAAAGCCAGCTATAGGAGAATTACCCAGATCTCAAGAAATAACCACTCTTGGGAGGGGAGATTTCTTCCTCCTTACCCCTCCCATCTGCCAGGATATCTTGCAGCACACAGCAAAAATCAGGCCTAGTAAACCAAGGTAGGAGACTGGAGGAGTCTCCTGACTTAACAGCAAAGGCTATGGGCACTTGAGCTAACAATAGGAAAAGGACCAAGGAGTTCAGATGAGGGACTCGTCCAACAGAGATGCTTCTCCCTAGGACAGCAGCAGGAAGGAAAACAGGTCATCAGAGCCTGAAAGTCTCAGAAGCAGTTTTGCTGGCCACATGTCTTCACTATATGTGATCCTCTATTAGCGTTCTTTCTATCCGTACCCAGTCTTCCCACTTACTGTTTATTGTTTATTCCTGTCTATAAAAAGCAACACGGTTTGAATCTCTGCTGGCCTACCCAATGCTTACTGCCTTGGCATGTTGAATAAAATCCTTTTAATTATTTTTTTCATGGGTTTGCCTTATTCATCAGGGCAAAGTCTGAACAAAGATTTCTTTTAACTACTGGATGACCTCAAACTCAACACGCCCCAAATGAAACTCAATGAAACTTTTTCTCCCAAACCTTCCCCTTTTCTGAATTTCCATTTTACTGTCAAAAGTACTACCATTCTCTCAGTTACTCAGACTCAACTGTGACATCATCATTGCCTCCTCACTCTCAATGGCCCCACATCCAATCTGCTGCCAGATCTTGTCTTTTCTGCCTTCCCAACATCTCTCATATATTTAGGTGTCCCCTTCTCTCCAATAACCACCATGACCCTCGTTCAGGACTTCATCACTTCATACTTGGGCTATTCCAATAGCCTTCTAATCATCCTCTTTGACTCAGGTCTCCGCTTTTACTCCAATCCATCCTTCACTCAGAAGCCAAAGTGATTTTCCTAAAGTGCAGGTCTGACCATGTCACCCCTAACTCAATAAACTCTTGTGGCTCCTTATTACCTCCAAGACAAAATATAAAGCCCTCTCTTTGGCATTTAAAGCTCTTCATAACCTGGCCCCATTCTTCCTATTTAGTCTTCTTGCATTTTACCCTCCTCTCTGTACTCTATTACAGCTAGGTACAGCTAGGTGGTACAGTGGATAGAGCACCAAGTCTGGAGTGAAGAAGATCTGAGCTCAAATCCAGCCTCAGACACTTACTAGCTGTGTGACCCTGGGCAAGTCACTTAGCCCTGTTTGCCTCAGTTCCTCATATGTAAAATGGGGACACACTGGAGAAGGAAATGGCAAACCATTCCAGTATAGGTGGACATGATTGAACAACAAATGTACTCTACTCCTCCATCTACAGCTACACTGGCCTACCTACAATTCCTTACTCATGCAACACCCCAACAAACATCTCTGTGTTTTTGTACTAGTTTTCCCTTATGCATAGCAAGCTCTTCCTCCTTCCCTCCCCTCTACCTTTTAATCAAATATCACTTTATTCAGGAGCACATTCTGATTCTCCCCAGACACTAAGAAGGTATTCTACCCTCAGATTATTTTCCATCTACTCTGTATGAATCTTGTATATACTTGATTGTTTAAATGCTTTCTCCCTTATTAGAATGTGAGTAGAATTAGATCATCAGATACTGTTTTTTCCTTTTCTTTCTTTCTTTCTTTCTTTTTTTATTTTTTGTATCTCTAAAACTTCTCAAAGTGTATCTCACAAAGTAAGCATTTTATAAATTCTTTTGGACTAACTACATTAATGATCTCAATGTTTCCAATACCTTATCTATGACATACTAATCAACAGTGAGGTAAACACTCAAAAAGAAGCTATTAAAAGGTAAATATATGCAGATGCCCATCTTGGGATATAAGTTACTAGAGGACAGGAATTGACTATAGATTCATACTTATAATAGACTTTGCTGTTGTTTAGTCATTTCAGTCATATCTGACTCTTTATGACCTCATCTGGGATTTTCTTGGCAGAGATACTAGAATAGTATGCCATTTTCTTCTGCAGTTCATTTTACAGATGCGGAAACTGAGGCAAACAGGGTTAAGTGACTTGCCCAGGGTCACGTAGCTAGTAAGTGTCTGAGCCCAATTTTGAACTCAGGAAGATGAGTCTTCCTGACTCCAGGTCTGGCACTCTATCCACTGTGCCAACTAGTTGCTCATGATAGATTGTAGTGTGGTTTAATTTATTTGATTTTCTTTTTAAAGCTTATAATACTCCATCTCATTTGACCTTTTCCTAACAACTTTATGAGGGAGGTGCATATATTATCACTTCCATTTTACAGATAAGAAATTGAGACCCAGAAAGGTCTTCTACTCACCTACATAGAAATCAAAAACCATAGGAAGGTTTTGAACCTTCGTTGACTCCAAGTGTATTGCTTTTTATTACGGTCTAATTTGATATGAATTGAGCTGTTATAAAAATATATTGCTACCATTGCTTTCCTTAAGTTACTCATACTTACTGCTGGTCTTCCTGGGTTATTTTATACTTGTCAAGGCTTTCCTTGATTCTTAATTCAGAGTCCTACAAAAAGAACCAAAAATAAATAAATGAACCAGTCAATCTCGTATAAAATCAACAATTCAATTCTATCTCTCCTTTTAGAGTAGTTATGCTACCACCTGCTATTACACATTTATATATAAACAAGCACATACATGTTATAAAGGGAAGCATACGCATCAAGTTAATTAGAAACAAAGTTAAGAACACACCTGCTTTCAAATAACTGAAAATTAAAGTGGGTAGCTTATACATTGGGGGATGGCTAAAGAAAATTCGGTTATGATTGCAATGGAATATGATTAGGCCATAAGATATGATGAAAAGGATGGTTTCAGAGAAAACTGAGAAGATTTTTGGATTGATGCAGAATAAAGTGAGAATAACCAGAATAATTTCTACAACAACTATGTAAAGACAAATAACTTTGAAAGACTTAAGAGCTCTGATCAATACAATAACCAACCAGGAGAGAACTGAGGATGAACTAGGATAATCCACTCCCTGACAGAGAGGTAATGACTTCCAAATGCAGAATGATTCACATATTTTTGGAAATGGACAATTTAGACATGGGAATCTGTTTTGCTTGACTATGCAAATTTGTTACAATGGTTTTAGTTTTCATATTTTTTTGGTTTTTTTTGTTTCCTTTTCAATAAAGATAGTGGAAGGGAAGGAAAATAAATGCTTGTCACTGAAAAATTTTAAATCACATTTTAAAAAAGAATACATCCATTAACCTGAGACCAGATGACAATTGTTTAGGACTGAAGTAGTCAGGGTTGGTTCAGACAATACAATTCAATTTCCTTTTTTTTTTTCCCTAGCCACTTTATGCCCTTCTTACCATTGATTTCGATGATTAGGATAGTTATAGAAACTGGGCAAAATCTGATTATGATATTACATATTGTCACTTAATAGTTATATGCTAATGGAAAATTTTTTAATTGTTGAAGGTTTTGACCAGTCTAAATGGAACATTCAATGACAGCACAAATGCCATGCTGGGTCACATTGATTAGGAGCTGCATTTCTCTTGCTCCCCTTACCCCACAATCCAATCAAGTTCCATTTACCTGAGAGCTACAAGTTAGCCATTCTTAGAAACCTTTTTCCTATCTTAAAAGGAAATGCATGAAATTCCAAGGAGTTATGGCTCAGGATTGCCTCAGGTTGTCGAGGTCTTGTTACCAGGCATTGGTTTCTTCTGCTGGCTAGTCCTTCCCTCTCTCTTCTGGTTCTGGTTCGTTTGGTACCTACTTTGTTTTACCTTCTAGTTTTTATGCCCTCCATCTTCTTGGCTGCTTGCCTGGTGTCTGACCTGCTGTTTGTCCTAATTCTCATTATTTATGTGTGTCCTGACTCGGCCTGCTTATTTGGTTTGCCCATGATGGCTCTGTTCCTTCAATGTGTAACCTTGGCTTTCTGCCTCCTACATTGCCCACACACTGGCCTGACAAAAGCAGTGATCCATTAAATATGATCTCATTGTCTCTGGTAAAGGCACCAATGGATGCTGTTAGAGCATTTGGTCACTTTCCGTGACATCAATTTGAAAAGATTAGGGATATAACTTAGCTTCCTTCAATAACCACCTATGGACTATTTCTATAGGCTTCTAACTATTCTCCTTGTGCAACCTCTCCTCTCTCCAGTTCATCCTTCTTATACCACATCATTCCTTCATCAAGAACCTTTCCTGTTATATCAAGAATAAAACTTAAATTTCATATCTTGGAGTTTAAGTCCCTCTAAAACCTGGCTATGACCTACTTTATTCTGTGTGAGCTCAGCTGTTACCAAGACTGCAGAGAAACCTTAAGAAGTATGGACTAAAGTAAAGAAAAAATGATAAAACAAAGAATTCCAGGAAAAATAAGGGAAGATTTATATTAATTTATTCAGAATGGAATATACACAAACAAAAGAATAACATACACAATACCACAATAACACAGACAAAAAGATCACTGAAAGAAGCCAAACTCTGAATAACTGAGGCAAAATGGGCTTTGAGGACAAACAGTAAAACATAACTGCTTCCTTATAACAAAGAGATAGGGGACTACTACGGCAGAATACTGTGTACCTTGTAACACAGAGTCACTGCATTGGTTGTTTTTGTTTAATAGTTCTTCTTTGTTACAAGGGAGGGTCCCAAGCATCAATAAAACACAGAGAAAGACAGACAGACAGACACAGAGACAGAGAGAGTGAAAGGCAGAGACAGAGACAGAGAGGTTAGGCATGGAAAAGCATGCTAAGCCTTTGGAAGATGAGCCATCACTACCCTTCTGATAACTGTTGTACATTTCACTAGAACCTCTGACTCCCTCTGCTTTGAACTCCCAGACCAAATTCCTAGTTTTGATTTCTTAGATGTCTTTATTGGTAACAGTGCCTTGTCTCTTCAATGGTCCCAATGATGTTTCTGGATCAAACTAGACCCCAAACCTGCACCAAAAGCTCCCTGCTGAGGTCACAGCCCACAATCAGAGACCATACCTCCAAGGAGCAGTTTATAATGGCTACAAAATACTTTGCCTGAAAACCTAGAGCCCTTCATCCTGTAAGGACAGTTTTGACTTATTTTCCCCTAAACTGAATTACCATATATTTCTCCAGATTAAAGTTGGAGTAGTTAAAGGCTATTGATTTTAGACAGAGTTCAATGACATATTAGGAAGACAGTTTGTTGATGATATAAAAAAAAGCAGACTCGAGGGGAAACTATCTCAATGTAATACCAAATCCAAAAGAACTCACGATTATTTTTTTCTTTAAAATTGCATTAACCGTCTCCAACTTAATAGCTTCAGTCTGAATGAGAAACGGGAGAAAAAGATTAGATATCTATTTATCAAGAATTCTTAGTTTAGAAAAAACATAGGAAAAAGTCTACATGTCTTAATGTCCCAAATACAGGCAAAAGTGGTATGATATTACTATTATCTTTTAGCCGAATAAATGAATTTCAGCGTTATGCCCTACAGGGCATAAACTTTAAGAAAATATCCCACCACACAACTTGAAAGCTACCTATGACTGATGAAATCTAGAAGTTTAGAGGAGGTGAGTAAAGATGCCTTATATCACCATGGGATCTTTGAGCCAAAAACACATCTATCACAGAGATGTGGGTCTCTTTTATTTTTAAGGGATTCTGAAGACAGAAAATTTCACTGACTCCTTTGGGAACTCAGTCCTATGAATAATAGGCCTCTTTGTGAAAAGAAATTCTCATAACTAATGTGAGTGTCTGATCAAACATATCCAACTCATTTTTCTTTTTCTTTCTCTCTTTGTTGTTGTTGATCAATATGTCCAACTCTTCATGACCCCATTTGGAGCTCTCTTGGCAAAAAGACTGAACAACAAAAATGTCGGGCAGCTAGGTAGCTCAGTGCTGGCCCTGAAGTCAGGAAGACTCATCTTTCTGCATTCACATCTGACCTCAGACACTTACTATATGACCCTGGGCAAGTGACTTAACCCTGTTTGTCTCAGTTTCCTCATATGTTAAAAAAAAGCTAGAGAAGGAAATGGTAAATCATTTCAGTATCTTTGCCAAAAAAGAAAACACACACACACACACACACACACACACATACACACACACACACACACACACACACCCCAAATGGAGTAATGAAGAATCAGATATGACTGAAACAACTGAACAACATTATGAGGCAGGTAGGTGGTGCAGTGGATAGAGTTCTGGACCTGAAGTCAGGAAGACTCATCTTTGTGAGTACAAATATGGCCTCAGATACTTACTAGTTGTGTGACCCTGGGTAAGTCATTTAAACTTGTTTGCGTAAGTTTCCTTACCTGTAAAATGAGCTGAGCCCAGATTTAAACTCACAAAGATGAGTCTTCCTGGCTCCAGGCCCAGCATTCTATCCACTCTGCCACCTAGCTGCCCAATGAAATGGTAGTCCTTGGAAAATAGAGATCCTGTCCATAAGAGTAACCTATTAGAGCTTATGCTAAAAAACATAGCTTCAAAATCACTTCAATCACTTCATGGCTGTGGAGGAGGACTTGAGAGCAGCTAAACTCTTATATAAGAATAATACCTCACATCTTGGCATGGAATTGTACACTTTTAAAATACTTTCTCAGAATCTCAATTCATCTTCATAACAGATCTCTATAGTAGATTGGGCAATTCTGATTATTCTCATTTACAGATATGGAAATTGAGCTTCAAAGATACCAAGTGATGCCTAAAATTAAACATGTAATTTGTGGTATGTTCTAGGAATAGGACCTCAGCACTTCGAAATGGCAGTTTGGGTGATTTCTGCATGACAGTATCCCAAAATTGTCAATGAAAGAGTTAAAGTAATGGCGGAAATATGTCTTTCTATCACAGGAGAGGGTATGCCCACTGCACACATGACAGTGAACCATCTCTTTTCTATCCAGAAGCATATCAAAAGTTTCATTTTGGCATAAAAGATTTGACTCACAAAATGATTGACACGTAGTACATACTTAATAAATATTTGCTGATTAATTGTTTGTTTGTTTTTAGCTTCGTGCTAGAAAATTGTGAAGCTATGGTCTTTGACCCTCAAGTCCATGGCCAGTTGAGAATTATTTAGATTTTCCAGACATTCATTAGTTCAAGAACCAATTCATAGTCTATCAGTCAAAAAGTATCTTTTAAGGATGCAGTATGTTTCAGGCACTAGTATAAATGCTGGGGATATAAAGGAAAGCAAAAAAAAGTCCCTGTCATCAATGAGTTCACATTCTAATGGGGGAGACACTATGTGAATAACCTGGGACATGCAAAGCAGATTTAAATTTATGTATTTTATTAAACAAATAAAGAAAAATACCAGCATGAGTTTAGCAGTCATCCCAGAACAAGGACTACACTTATGACTCCACAGTTATGGAGAGTGATGTAGTGAAAAGAACGTGGTATAGTTGAACTCATCATCATCATCATCATCATCATCACTGATTATTATTATATTTAAGCCTCAATGTGCATGACATTATAGCTGATTCGTTCAAATATAAATCAAATCAGTCAAATAAAAAGTAGGTGAAAGAGAAATTGCCTTAACCAAATTACTTACTGTATCTTCGTTGGTTTAAAAAAAAAAAAGGAAAACAACCGTTAAATGCAGCAAAATCCTGTTGGAACAGGGTTCATATACTTGCCATTGCTCAAAAAATATATATATTTTTAAATTAAATAAAGATTAATTAAATAAAAATAATTAAATTAATTAAATAAAAATTAAATTAATTAAATAAAAATTAATTAAATTAATTAAATAAAAATTAAATAAAGAAATGGCATACCTCTATGCTTTTAATGCTATTCTCAATAATGTTTGCAATTCCAGCGTGAGTCAAGTTGGTCTTGATGTTTTTTTCAAGAGCACAGATGTCATCCCATTTATTAAGAATTTCACATCTCTTTTCTTCAATCTTTTCGGGCAAAGTAAGTATCTTTTCTTCAGTTACTTCACTTTCAGGTGACTCTGAAAATATAAAAGCAGAACATACGATTGTAAAGAAATCACCTTATAGTTCTGTCTTAAAATTTTATTTTCTTTAGTTTAAGTATGCTTTAAAATAATGTCCAGGTATGACTCCAAGCTTTTTGATAGCAAGTAATCTAAACTAGAAAGCAAACATAAAGTAGAGTTGCATGTTTGTTGGAGGTTAGGTTCCAAAGTCAGCAAGCAAGGCAACAATTGTGTATGGTCAAAAATCATCCTTTAAAATCCAATAAATTGGCTATAATGTATGGTAAGCTGTCTTTAAACTGTTGTCTTGAAAAGGTGTTTGGGTCACTTTCAAAGGAAGGCAATTGGAAAAAAAAAAACCAAATAGATCCGAGATGGTTACTACAGTGGGGAAAATGTACATAAATTTTATTCTACACAGTGACCAACAAAGAGTCAAGAAGCAGATATCAGAAAATCAAAGGAAATCTAGCAGGAATCTTCTACCTCATCTGGATGCTAAAAGGCTAGCTAAGTCATCTGTCTCATTAGTTGACATTTTTTTCTGGAAAATTACTTAAGCATAAGGAATGAACTGTCTGTGGATGGGATGAAGGGGAAATTCTAGAATCACACAGCATAGGGAGATACTCAGGGAAGCAAGACAGACTGAGGGAACAGCAGTTTCATTTCTCATTCCAATTGCAGAGAATATTCTCATCGAGTGGAATGCCTGTCCACACTATTTAAAATGTTATTTCTCTGTGTGTGTGTATGTGTGTGTTGTCCTGCTGAGCTCTATAGATGGATTCCTTGAAATGTGTGTGATAGGATGTGCCATGATATTTGATGGAGTGATAATTGCTAAGGAGCTATTCAATTCAAAATGTTCCCTAAACACTGAAGTACCAGACACCTAACTGGAATGGGAGAAGTATGATCCTTTGAGAAGGGAAAAATTACTCCCTTCAGATGAGAAGCAATCACTGGAGATTGAAATAACTGACATGCAGATACCGTGGCTTTAATCTTGGCTCTTTTGTCAGATTATTTCAAAGGAAGAAGAGGAGGAGTTCGAAGAGAAGGATGCTAAAATCTTCTGGGAAATTACTCCAGCAATTCAGTGAAGCTCAGAGCAAAAAAACAACCATAGAACAAACCCTGAGATACGGAGGGAGTTACGGGATGGCATCTATATCTTCAGACTTAGTATTCAAGGTCCCCTACAACATGACACCATTCAACGAGTCTGTCCCATCTCACCTCACTCTCTACTCTTCATCCAAACTGGATTACTCTTAAATCAGGGTTCTTAATCTGAAGTCTATGAATCTTATTTAAAAAAAAAATTGGTAAATGCATTTCAATGCAATTGATTTCCTTTGTAATTTTATTATTTTATATTATGCATTTAAAAACATTATGAGGAGTCAATAGACTTCACTGGACTGGCAAAGGGCTTCATGACTCTTTTGTGACAGTTCTCTGGTGTAAGGGAGTCCCTACTTGGAGGACATAGAACTTTGTTGCAAGCAATAGGCAAAAGGAGAGAGGAAAAAGGAACAGGACATACAGCTCAGACATACACACTGATATAGAGTATAACTCACATAATGGCAGTACTGCATTAAGAAACACAAAGAGACAGGTCCATTCAGCAGGAAATGGGTGCTCAGTGAAAAGATATGTTCCTGCTGGAGGGGAAGGTGTACTCCAAAGTACCGTTTTGAGAATAGGTTTCTTATACTCTGACTTAGGGTGCTCCTCACTGAGCTGGCCAGTTTGTATATCAAGGATCAGGGCACAACTTTATTTTAGGGGTTTGTTATCAGGGAGCAAAACAAGTTTGTGGTAGACAAATATTATTTTGGGGGTTTGCACATCAGAGAGAAAACAAGATGGTGGTAGAATAAATATTATTTGGAGGAGGCAGCTGTACTAACCTTCAAAAAGATTATTGTCAGTATTTTTCCATAAATATGTTCTATAGGCTTACAGTCTCCTTTAAGGGAAGACCATCATGATGGCTTCAAGATCATCAGACTTAATCTTATAACAATGGATTCCATGCATAGATTCTGTCGTGGTGGTTTCAAGAATTAGCCCAGCCATTCTAGAAGGCAATTTTTAACTATATGCAAAAACTTACTAAATTGAGCATACGTATTAACCCAGTAATACCAGTATTAGGCATATATCCCCAAGAGGTAAAAGACATAGGAAAAGAACCCATATATTAAAAAATCTATTAATAGTAACCATTTTGTTTTAGCTAAGAACCAGAAGCAGAGGATGCACATAAATTGGTTGCTGTTTAGTCCTCCAGTAGTGTCCAACTCTTCGTGACCCCATGGACTATATAGCACAGCAGGCCCTTCTATCCTCCACTATCTCCCAAAGTCTGTCTAAGCTCATGTATAGATGGCCAAAATAACATCCATTATGGGGGCAGCTAGGTGGCACAGTGGATAGAGCACTGGCCCTGGAGTCAGGAGGACCTGAGTTCAAATCCAGTCTCAGACCAGATATTTGACACTTACTAGCTGTGTGACCTGGGCAAGTCACTTAACCCCAATTGCCTTGCCAAAAAAAAATAATAACATCCATTATGAATGTGAGCGGAAGTGATGAACAGATTTAAAAGATTAGATCTGGTAGATAGAATGCCTGAAGAACTTTGGACAGAGATTTCCAATATTGTACAGGAGGCAGCAACAAAATAATTCCGAAGAAAAAGAACAAAAAAGCAAAATGGCTGTCTGATAAGAACAAATAGCTGAGGAAAGAAGGTAAGCAAAAGGTAAAGGAGAAAAGAAAAAATATACCAACTAATGTAGAATTCCAGAGAATAGCAAGGATAGATGTTTTCTCAAATGAGCAATGCGAAGAAATAGAAGAAAACCATAGAAGGGAAAAGACAAGAGATCTCTTCAGGAAAATTAAAGATGTCAAGGGAACCTTTCACGTAAAATGGGTATGTTTTTATAAAAGATAAAAATTGTAGGGGCTTAATAGAAGTAAAAGAAATTAAGAAGAGGTGGCAAAAATACACAGAAGAACTATACAAGAAAGATCTTAGCACCACTTATAACCATTGTGACATGGTTACTGATCAAGAGCCAGACATCCTGGAGAATGAAGTTGAGTGAACTTAGGAAGCATTGCCTACAATAAAGCTAGTGGAAATAGAGGAATTCCAGATGAGCTATCTAAAATCCTAGAAGATGATGCTGTTAAACTGCTGCACTCAATATGCCAGCAAATTTGGAAAACTGAAGAGTGATCACTGGATTGGAAGAGATCAGTTTACTTCCCAATCCTAAAGAATGGCAATACTAAAGAATGTTTAGATTACCAAGCAATTATAATCATTTCATATGCCAGCAAGATTATGCTTAAGATTCTATAAGCTAGGCTTCTGCAATACGTGAACCAAGAAATACCAGAAGAGTAAACTGGTTGTTAAAGAAGCAGAGAAACTAGAGACCAAATTGCCAGCATTTACTGAATTATGGAGAAAGCAAGGAAATTCCAGAAGGAAAAAAAACACCTACTACTTTCCTCAAATTAAGTCTGAATTTTGCTCATGATCTGAGACACAGTCAACTCCAGGTTTTGTTTTAACTGACTATGTAGGGCATCTCCACATTTGACTACAAAGTATATAATCAATCTGATTTCAATATTGACCATCTGGTGATGTTCATGTATTTTGGGTTGTTGAAAAAAAGCGTTTGTTATGATCAATGAGTTATCTTGACAAAACTCTATCAGTCTCTGCGTTGCTTCTTTTTGTACTCCAATGCTAAACTTGCCTATTATTCCAATCATCTTTTGATTCCTTGCTTTAGCATTCCAATCCCCTATGATGACTGTTGATATCTCTGTGTGTGTGTGTGTGTGTGTGTGTGTGTGTGTGTGTGTGTGTGTGTGATTTCTAGAAGCTGTTGTAGGTCTTCATAGAATTGATCAATTTTGGCCTATGGCCAAAATGATTAGAGCATAGATTTGTATTACTGTGATGTTGAACAATTTGCCTTAGATTCAAATAGATACCATTCTGTTATTTTTGTGATTATACCTCAGTACTGCTTTTCTCATCCTTTTATTGACTATGAGAGCTACACAATTTCTTCTAAGGGATTCCTGCCCATGATAGTATAAGTAATGATCACCTGAATTAAATTCACCCATTCCCATACATTTAAATTCACTAAGAGCCAAGATGTTGATATTTAATCTTTCCATCTCCTATTTGACTAGATCCAATTTACTTTGGTTCATCCCAGATTCCTATGCAATATTGATCTTTACAACTTTGGACTTTCCTTTGGTTATCAGACACATCTTCAACTGAGCTTCCTTTCAACTTTCACTCAGCTGCTTCATTCTTTCTGGACCTATTTGTAGTTGTCTTCTGTTTTTCCCTATAGCATGTTGGACACCATCCGACCTGAGGGACTCATCTTCCAGTGTCATATCTTTTATCATTTTAATGTTTTCCATGGGGTTTTCTTGGCAAAGATCCTGGAGTGGTTTACCATTTTCTTCCCCAGTGAATCACCTTTTGTCAGAACTCTCCACTATGAACTGTCTATTTTGGGTAACCCTGTATGGCATAGCTCATAGTTTCATTGAGTTATTCAAGATCCTCCACAGTGACAAAGCAGTTATCCAAGACAGGCACATAAATTGGGGAAATTGCTAAATATATTATGGAATATGAAGGCAATAGCATAATATTGCACCATGAGAAATGAAAAGAATAGAGTTATAGTTACACAGGAAAAGAACTAGGAAAATAAAATGATATAAGGATAGCTATATTAAAAAGAAAAATAACTTTGAAAGACTTAAGAATTCTGGGTGACTGAGAAGTAGTAGAGCCCCTGACAGCAAAAGGGAAGTCTGAGAAAGGGGAAGGTTGTAGGATAAAAATAATGAGTTCTGTTTGGGATATGTTGAATATGAGGTGCCTATAGGTCATCCAGTTGGTGATAGATGACTGAAGTTTCAGAGACTATGACGGATTGGGATTCATCTGCATAGAGTTGACAAATGAACACAATTAATTTGATGAGATTACTCCATGAGATAGTATAGGGGTTAAAAAAAAATTAGGAGGGAGTGCTAGATAAAGCTTTGAGGGATGAGCATGGTTAATGGGCATGGCATAGATGAGGAACATGCAAAGGAAGACTGAGAAGAAGCAGTTAGATAAAAGGATAGCTGAGAGATATTTGTGTCATAAAATATTAGACAGGATAGCATAGGGGTGGGGAACCAGCTACCTTGAGGTCACATGTGGCCCTTTAGGTTCTCGATCCAAACTTCACATTGGATTCAGTCAAAGGGCCACACTTGAGGACCTAGAGGGCCATACGTGGCCTCAAGGCCACAGGGTCCCCACACCTAGGATAGCAAAACCAGGAGGCAAAGTTAAGCAATTGTGTCAAAAGCTGCACTGAGGTCAAGAAGGATGAGGTCTGAAAAAAGGCTATTGCATTTGTCTGATTAAGAGATCATTGGTAACTTCATAGAAGGTAGTTTCAAATGAACGATGAGACTGAAAGCAAGAACGTAGAGTAATTAGAAGTGTGAGAAAAAGATGAAGAGGAAACATGGAGTGTAGACAGCTTTCTCATGGACATTAGCCATGAAAGGGAGAGAGATAGATGATAGCCAGATGCAATGATAGGAGAAAGGGGTAGTGTTTTGAGAATGTAGGAGACATTAAGTTGTCTATAGGTCCCTGGGAAACCCATTCTCCAACTTCCATCAGTCATCCATGCTGAGACGGCTAGATGGTACACTGCATAGAATACTGGGCCTGGAGTCAGGAAGATCTGAATTCAAATACAGCCTAAGACATTCACTAGCTATGTGCCCCCGGGAAAAGTCACTTAAGCTCTGCCTGCCTCGGTTTACTCAACTGTAAAATGGGGGCAACAAGAGCATCTACTTTCCAGAGGTGTTGCGAGGATAAAGTAAGATAATAGTTGGAAAGCATTTAGAACCGTGCCTTGCACATAGGAAGTGATTAATTAAAGCATCTTCCCTTCCTTCCCTTTCAAATGGTTAAAAACTTTCATAGAGGGCCTTAAGGCTTAATAGTATGTCTAAAGTTGTTTTGTATATATACTTTTTGTCACAGAAAAATGTCAGTAGATCAGTCATACAATTACTTGCCTGATTTAGCACTAGGAATCTTGCTAAGCAACTCTTCTATTTCCAATTCACTTCGGAGTCTGTAAATACAGAAAAGAGTGAATAATAATTTGGATCACTACTATGTGTTTTCCACTCTATACTTTGTGTCCTAATAACCATGGTAAAATAAGAAGTTTTTTTTTTCATAACTACTGTTTTTAACTTTTCAAAATTAGCCAGGCACTTTGGCTCCTATGCTAAAATAATAACAATTTGACATAAAAATAAAGAGAATAAAACACTGGAAAATATAATCAAGTATATACTCCACTAGTTAAAAGAGATGGTCTTTTAAAGTAAGAATAAGTTCCTTTAATTTTCAGTTCATCAATATGGTAAGCAACTAGCTGGTTAAGGAAATGAAGTCAAATAATATTATTTGGGATTCTACAGAAATAAATAGTATTCCGGCTACAGTTCTCATGAACCTAAAAAGGGCTGATAAGAATATACTATTTTTAAAGTCTTGGAAATATTATCAAAATGGTTTTAAACTAAAATGGAAGGGGGAAGGAGGAAACTGCACATGGATATCCATCAAGAGAGTAGTTACAGCTTAGGAAGAAGAGTAGAGGCAAAAACTCAAAAACTAGCAAAAAACAAATTCTTTGAAAGTGTTCAGATCCAGCTCTTTTTGTGGTGAAAAGAATTGGAAGTCAAGGGGATGTCCATCAATTGGGGAATGTCTAAGCAAGTTGTGGCATTTGGTTGTAATGGAATATTCTTGTGCTATAAGAAATGACAAGCAGGATGATTCCAGAAAAACTGAGAAAGGCATGAACTGATGCAAAGTGAAGTGAACAGAACCAGAAGAACATTGCATATAGTAACAGCACTATTGTACAATTATCAATTGTGAATGACATAGCTATTCTCAGCAATATGATGATCCAAGACATTTCCAAAGGAGTCATGATGAAAAATTCTATATGTCTCCAGAGAACGAACTGATGGAGTCTGAACACAGATAGAAGTATAATATTTTTCACTTTATTTTTTCATGCTTTTTTTGGTCTATGTTTTCTTTCACAATATGACTAATATGAAAATATGTTTTGCATAATTGCCCATATATAACCTATATCAAATTGCTTACAATCTTAGGGAGAGGCAAGAGGAAGGAGGGAGAGAGATAATTTGAAACTAAAAAAAATATTTTAAATGAATGTTAAAAATCATTTTCACATGTAATTGGAAGAAATAAGACATTATTTTTTTTAAAAAAAAGAAAGTGCTCAGAGGCTCCATGGTCTCAGTTGTTGACAAAAAGTACACAATATATGGGTAACAAGGAAGGTGAACTAGAGATCATGATGCAAGGACTTTAATTTGGCCTTATCACTGAGACTTTGTTAGATGAGATCAATGATTGAAACATAACTCTAATTAGGCATGACTACTTTTTTTTTACAAAACAATAGTATACCTATAAGGAGAAATAAAGTATAATTGTATATTAAGATGCTCTACTCATGTGACAAAACCTGGGAAACAGAGAAGAAAAGTGTGGTGAACAGCATTTGGTTAAAGATCAAAGAAGGAAGAAGCAGAAGGGATATTGTTATTAGAGCAAACTAACAGACCACCCTGACAGAAAGAGGAAATAGATGAAGAGTTTAGGAAAGTGATCATAAGTCTCACAAAAAAAAGTACAATATAGTAGAGAAGGAAGACTCCCGTTTACACATCTACTGGAACTCTCAATTTTCCCAAAACTCGACTTGTTATAAATACGACTTTATCCTTCAAACAATAATGAAATTAACAGGGGGGCCACTGTATTCTGGATCTGATTCCCTTAAATAATGAAGAATTGGTTGCTAGGGATGAAATAATAGCAATCTCAGGAAAAAGTGACTACTCCTTAGAAACTACGATGAAGAATAAATGCTTTTTGAAGGAAGGGAGGAATTAATTAATGAGGACAAGAAATCTCACAGTAGTCTGACATGCATGTTGGATTTGAAGAGGACAGATTTTGAATTGTTCAGAGAAAGATTAGAATCTCATGGACTAAAATTTCTACAAAGGAAGTCACCCCAGGAAGAATGGGGAGTTCTCAAAAATGAAATTTTGAAATCACAAAGAAAAATACTTCTAATGAAGAGGGGGAAGTGGTAGTTGCCTAAAGAGATCAAATGGTTACATAGGAACTCATCATCCAATTTTGATTTTGCAATGATAGGAAATGAAAGCAAGGGCAAAGAAAGGAGGATAAATACAAATATGTGGCCTAGTCCTGTACAAATAGTTTCAGGAGTACTAAAGCTCAGAATGAGCAATGGCTCACAAGGAAAACTAAAAACCACAAAAAGTGGGGGTTTTCTTGGGGAAGGTATATTAGGGAAAAAAAGAGGATTAAAGAATAGTTGGTCCCTGGAGTAGGTTAGACAATGATAAATGACAACAGAGAAGTCAAAGCTGCTAAATATTTATTTTGCTTCTCTTTTTCTTTGCCAATGAGAATGATCATTTGACTAGGAAGAACAGAACAAAAATGGCTAACAAGGAATGGATCCTGAAGATAAGAAATTGTTATCAAGGAAAGTATTATCTACCTTTGTTGAGTTCAAGTCACTTGTCCATCAATTAATCCATCAATCAATAGGCATGTATATTAAGTACCTACTATGTGCCAAGCACTGTGCTAGGTATCTGAGATATAAATGTAAGAAATGAAACAGGAACTTACCACATATAAGATAAACTCTATCTTAGAATTTTGTGGTGAAGAAAAAAGTAGATGATACTTGAAACAATTCCTAAAAGTACTGCATGACTGAAGAACAGCAAATGTGTCCCTGTTTTTTAAAATGAAGAGACAGCAATCTATAAGCAAGAGAACTCAACTTCATTTCTTGGCAAAATTTTAGAACCTGATATTAAAGGAATGGTTAGTGAATGTCTAGTAAAAGAAGTGGATCCCAAAGAAATAAGAGAGCTTTATCAAGGACAGGTTATGCTACACTAAGCTTATTTCCTTTTTTGACAGGTTATTATTAAACCAGTAGATCTGGAAAATACTATAAATATAATTTACCAGTATTGCAGCAAAGCAGTTGACAACACTATTGTTTTAAAAATACATAGGGAGAGATGTAGACTAGACAATAGTACCGTTAGATGGAATTGGAACTAGGTGAGCAGCCTGACTCAAAGACTTGGCACTCACAGTCTGATGTGGACTTGGAAGAAAGTCTCTTGTGGTGTGCCTAGGGAATCTTTACTTGGCCCAGTGCTATTTAAACTTTCTGTTTATGCCTTGGATAAGAATGTAGATGGCATGTTTTTCAGATTTGTAGATAACATAAAGCAAGAATAGAGAGTTAGTATGCTTCATGACAGAGGCCTGTTAAGTAATTATTCTGACAGCCCTAAACACCAGAACAAATCTAATCAGATTATATTTAATAAAGATATGTACAAAGTCTTACATTTGGGTTAAAAAAAAATGAAGTCCATGATGAGAGGGTCTTGACTAGATAGGAGGCTTTTTTTTAAAAAAGGTCTAAGTGTTTTTAATGGACTTTAAGCTCAACACGAGTCAACAATGTAACATGGCGTCCAAGAAACCTAAAGAAATTTTAGACTATGTTTATTGAGGTGTTGTGTGCAAGACAAAAGAGTATTTTATTTTCCTTACCCTTTTATAAAATCAGCAACACTCTATCCCTCTCCTTTGCCAAAGACAACGGGCTAAATTTATATGATTTTGTAAAAGAGATTTTTGTCTGTTTTAATGGGGTTATCTCCATTTATATTGGATACAAGGTAAGAAAGGATTATGATATCCATTGGTATTAGTTTACAAATAGTAACCTTTCAAAAAAGAGCCAAAAAGTACTACCAACTATGTCCTCAGGGAGAATGCAGCCAATATATCAATTGACTCTTCTCCTGAATCTGGAACTAGTGATTGCCCAGATTGAGCTCCCAAAATTAAGAGGAAGTCCAAGTTATATGAGTAATGGCTTGGTGAAGAGGCCGTAGGAGGTTAGTAATAGAGTTGATAGATTTGAACTTAATCCTACCAAATATATTTTTAAAATAATATGTTATATAAAGAATAAAATGTTAAATATTATGACACTCACTCTTCATTTCTCTCTAAAGCTCCTTTGGCCACCTTCACGAGCCTCTTTACTTCATCTCTGGCTTCTTCTATGTCTGAAGACATGGCAGTTCTCTTTTCTATGCCCCTTACTTGAGCAAGTAAAGTCTTGTAGTGTAGTCACAAAGAGGAGTGAAATAAGACATAAGAGCACATGAGAAATTGCATAATAATTAAATTTCATTCTTTATTCAAGATGTGCCATGGTTTTTCTAGAATTCTAGTGCCATATGCTTACTGAAATATTTAGAGGTAGGAAGTGTTGTTGTTTTTTTTAAAACGTTAAGTGCAATGGTGCAATGGGAAGGATTTGTAGTCAGGGGACTCAGATTAAAATTAAGTGACCTTGAGCAAGTCATTTAATTTCAGTTGAGTAGGAGTCAGTTTCCTTGTCTATAAAATGATGGGGTTGGACTAGATGAACTCTGAGTTCCCTTCCATTTCTAAATCTAGGATCCTAAATGTTTTTCTTCCAGAGACTTTGAAAGTTGTGATTTTTTTTCCCTAAAAAGTATTAGAAAAATCTGAATATTTTGCATTAAGTTTTGCTTATGTGTATTAACGAAATAATTAAGATAAAAGGTCTTCATTGACTACCCAGACTTGGGCATCCCTAGATAATTTCTAAAAGTAATAGAAGTTTTGATTTGTTTTGTTTTGTTTTTTCACATAAAACAATGGACAGTGTCACATCACTTCCATATATTAAGGACAAGCAATATGACATGCCTCTGACTCTAGGGAGTCCTGAAAAGGAAAGAGCTGTTCTGTGCCTCTTTTAATAGTGAAAATGACCATGGCAACCCAACTTTGGAGTATGGATCACATCAATAAGCTTTATTGTTCTTATAAGCCATGGCAGAGAATGATAAGTTGATTAACAGCTTTACTTCATCAGTCAAGTGCTATCTGAATAGCTATAGATAGAGAGGTAGGAGAGCTATTTCCTGGCCTTAGAGGGAAAAGAGGAAGGCAACTTGGTCAGTTAGTCAGTCAATAAACATTTAAGTGTCAAATAAGTGCTAGGCACCTGCTAAGAGGTAGAGATACAAAGAAACATAACCCATGCTCTCAAGGGGCTCACGGCTGAACAGAGGAGACAACATGCAAACAACTATGTACAAACAAGCTATCTGCCGGATAATTGGAGATAATCAACAGAGGGAAGCCACCTAGAATTAAAAAGACCAGCACAACATGGGAGCAGGTGAAGAACAAAAACAGACCAAGGAGGTGGGGGGAAAGGATATGGATGTTCATTTTCCATTGAACGAGAGGCCATTTTAAATATGAAGTCAGTTATGCCAACAAAGAGTAGCTATAGGGCCTCTCTCTTGTTATGTCCATGCTTCTTTGCTTGTTGATCCTAGCCCTTTCCAGAGGCTGGCTAAGAAAGCATATCTGACCAGTTACAGAGCTTCAATATCAAAGAACCTTTTCAGAAGCCAGGAGGAAGCATTTTAAATGACATCAATTTGAATCATGCTGGACTACTCAACAGTGATAAGAATGCTTAAAAATGAATATCTGATATAGAACAAAGCAAAAGAAATTAGTTTGCATTCAAAATAGCATATCGTGCAAAGGTAAACACTCTACTTCATGTATAACAAATGATATTTTAAGAGACACTGCCTTTAAATCCTATCTTCTATCTATGATGTTAAAGCTGAATGCAGTAATAAAAATTCCATAAAGCAATGCATTACTGAAAGAATGATAATTATATGAGGATAGGGATAGGGACCAGACAGCTAGGTAGTACAGTGGATAAAGCACAAGCACAAGTCAGGAAGACTTGAGTTCAAATTTGGCCTCAGACACTTACTACTGTGTGTCCCTGGGAAAGTCACTTAACTCTGCTTCAGTTTCCTCATTTGTAAAATGAGCTGGAGAAGGAAACGGCAAACCACTCCAGAGAAAACTCTAAATCGGGTCATAAAGAGTGGGCAGGAGTGAAACAGCTGAATAGGGACAGGAACTAGAACTGGGATTTCACTGGTGTGAGGAAACCTGTGGGTAAGGAAACTCCCTCTAGCAATACAGGTAGGTACCTTGTTTGCAGTTTGTAATCAAATAGCCACCTAGAGCACTGAGAGATTGGAATAACTTGCTTAGGTTTCCACAGTGACTGTCACAAAGGCAGAATCTGAACCCAAGTTTTCCTGGCTTCAAGGCTAGTTCTCTATCTAATAGGCCACACTGCCTAACCGAGACATAACTAAGGTAGTCATAATCTTAGTGATAATACCTCAAACAGTTCATAGGATCATAGGTTCATAGCTTTTGGTACAGCTAAGTGGCACACTGGATGGAGCATTGGACTTGGAATTAAGGAGCCCTGAGTTCAAATATGGCCTCAGACTCTCACTAGCTGTGTGACCCTGGTGAAGTTACTTAACTTCTACTTTCTTTTCTTAGTGGCCTCATCCATAGAAAGGGGATGATAATACATCAGCTAACTCCAAAAGTTGTTGTAAGGATAAAATAGTAGAACATTTGTAAAGCAATCTGCAAACCTTAAATAGCTCTATGAATGCTAGCTATTATTATTTTGAGCTCAGAGGGATACTAGAGTGCATCTAATCCAATACTTTCATTTTACGGATAAAGAAACTGAAGACTGAATGGGTGAAGTGTCTCCCCACAGTTACATTGTTAGTAAGCAGAAGAATGGGGGTAACTCAGATTGTCTGGCTCCAAATCCAATCTTCTTAACAAGTTTTTGTTCAGGGTTTTTGTTTGTTTGTTTGTTTCACAGATGTGCTAGAACAGATGGGAATAGAAGCACTAAAGATTATACCAGTTGGAATTTAAGATGGAGATCATTAAAATATTTGTTCTTCTGGCTTACAACGCAAGTGACACAGTAGCACCTTAGCAAATCATGAAGGATGAAGGCCTACCCACTAGGTCTGTGTGCATGCCACGGCCTAAAACTGCTTTTTAATGGCATCATAAATGTGGACACTCAGTGATAGATTACAGAAGAACAAAACGATTTGTAGAATATGTCAAGGGTACCAGAAATCATAGAATCTCAGAGTCGGAAAGGACTTCAAAGGCCATATTGTTCAACCAATACCTGAAAAAAAAATCCTCTCCATAGTTGTGTTGACCTCCTGACTTCTCTGCAGCATCACACACTAATAGCCACCCTTCTTATTCTGGCGTCCCTGTCTTCTCTGGATGTATGTGACATTGCTCTCTTCTGGTACCCCATTACCACTCCTTTTCAGTTTCCTTTGTCGGAGCATCAAAGTCCTGGCCCCTAATTGTGGGTATACCTTAATATCCTATCTTGGGACAATTTCTCTTCTATCTTCATACTCTTTCAAGGTTATTTCATCACCTCTAAGCAGATAACTCCCAAATCTCTATGTCTTTCTACATCTATAGTCTCTCTCCTGAATTACAATACAAAGCACCAACTGCTCATTGAAGATTTCAAACAAAATGTCCTGCAGGTATTTTAAACTCAACATATGTCCAAAGTAGAACTAATTATATTTCCCTCAAAATTTACCTCATTCCTCAACTTTCCTATTTCTTCCAAGAGTGTCTCCCTACTCCCAGTAATACTGGTTTGCAACCTCAGTCATTCTTGACATCAGTCCTTGACTACTCACCTAACATATCCAATTAGTTAACAAGTCTTGTCAATTTAAGGGCCACAATGTCTCTCCTATCCATTGCCTTCCCTTTACTCACAGGACCAAAACCCTCATTTATGCCCTCATCACTTCTCTTCCACATTATTGTAATAGCTGCTTTAATGGTCTGCCTCAAAGTCTTTCCCTACTCCAATCTATTCATCCCCCACACAGCTGCCAAAGCGATTTCCCTAAGGTACATGTGTGACCATATCACTCAACAAATTCAAGGGGCTTCCCATTATAGTACCTCTAGGATTGAATACAAATATCTGTTTGGCAACTAAAACCTTTCACAGTATAGGCTTCAATCACATTATTCCCCTTAAACACTGTATGGTCCAATAAAACTCACTAGCTGACATCCATAGTATCTTATCCATAGTAATAGCATTACAAACTTCATTTAAAATCTTTTCTAAAACCTTGATGAGCTAAACATAAAGCCTTTTCCTGATCTAATATAATAGTAACATAAAAAATCAAATATTTACTCTATAATCACCTATTGATGAAGCCATGCTATCTCTTTCTAAGCACAGCTTCCCTTTGCAGATTTTAAGAAACCATCCCTTCAATAACAAAGTCTACATCTGAAGTAAAGGTCAGAGGACTGTCGTTCAAAAATTCCATTCTCTTCTCTTTTTTGAAAAATAAGACAGAATGTTCTTTTCTTCTTTTCTGTGGTATCTCTCCTTTCCTCCACAATCTTTCAAAGTTCACTGACAGACTGACTCAGCAATCATATTCCACAGTTCATCCAGTATTCTGGTAAATGGTCCATCTTGATCTAGTTCTTTAAACTCACCAAAGTATTTTTTATGTTATTTCCTTACTCACGTAGCTAGGGTTTCAAATACGTATTAGTGTTGTTTATTCTGTTCCTTCCAGTTCAAAGATTATTCTTCTTGTCTGAGAAATCAGGAGCAAAGTGTTAAGTAGTTCTTTTCACCATCATTCATTACCGACATCTTATCAGCTCTTAATGTGATGTTCCTCCTTTGATAGTTGCCTTCTCCAAGAAGAGACAAATGGAAAAAAAATTCAAATAATAAAACAGCAACAACTGAGTTGAGTAAAAAAAAAATAAGCTTGTTAGAAACAGAAATAGTTGAGAACATTAAACTTCTCAGAAATCATACTTCTGTGTCTGTTTCTGGGAATACTGTATTTGTTGAGAATATTTTCTGGGTTGCACTCCAGAACTCACAGGAGATTTCAAAGCCAATTTCTTCAATAATCATTGGGTTTAAGTCAGGCAGTGCAAATGTCAGACTTCCTTTCCAAATAGCCCAGATAAAAATGAACTATTTTTGAGAATTTAATTTTATCTTCACTTAAGAAAGAAGACTTTAGGGGGACACCTAGTTGGCACAGTGGATAGAGTGCTGTCCCTGAAATCAGGAGGACCTGAGTTCAAATCTGACCTCAGACACTTACTAACTGTGTGATCCT